TGATTGATATAGAACACATCACATTGTGGATTGTTTTACATACACAGTGATACTGTGGATCAGATGCATAGGATCAAAGAGATGCTGGATCTGATATCCAGCAGACACTTTCACATCTTTGTACAGGGACGCTGGATCTGATTTCCAGCAGATACGCTCTCATCATTGTACAGGGATGCTGGACCCAATTTCCAGCAGGTCTAGCTCCCCACCAATAGATGGAGCCTTCAACGCCGGGCACTATTTATCGGGGATGCTCCTATCACCTCGATAAGTAGGTTTAGAGAATACGAAGTTCATTATAAAAATAAAAATAAAAATAAAAAAAGGAAAAAAAAAGTCAGTTGTCAGAGAATGCTACTCGACACCTCCTGTCGAAAGTTGTTCAATCCCCATCCAGCCTGCTACTGCTACTCCGATGGTTTCCACACTCCTCGGCTGTGCAGTAGACTTCCCTTCGAAATTTGGTGCGAGCGGGACTAATGCTTGTCCTACCCTCAAACGCGTTCGTCATTTTCCATCTTGCTTTTTTTTTTTTTTTTTTAAGTCAACCACGATTTGAATTGCAACTCTGTAGCTTCCATTCCTCATTGGAATCTGCACTCCTCCCTCACTGATCATAAATTCTGCAACTTCCGGCGACTTCGCCACACGCATGACATGGCCTTCTATCCTGCAATTATGACTCTCCCTCTCCTTGCTTCCACTGAAAAATGCTCACTCCCCAACACCCAACCATCCTCAAATGCCTAATCGTGTCATCCTTCACCGTTTTAGAGAGAAACCTGGCGTTTTCCTTTAAAAAAAAAAAAAAAAAAAAAAAATCGAGACAGTCCTCTCCTTCAACCACTTAATGTTAAGTCCGTCCAACGATGCTTTTTTTTTTTTTTTTTTTTACAACGATGCATTTAACTTGAACTATACTTCTCTTCCCTGCACCCTATAGACACCATCATCGAAGTAGGGAGCTAGAAGAGATCTAATTGGCGGTCGGAGGGACCAGGCGGTTGTTGTTGTGAGTGAGCACTTGTTCTATCCCCCTTTCCATCCTTGGCCTCCTCCATTGAGCTCCTTGCTTTCAACCTACCCCTAAAAGATCAGAGTACGTGAGGCCTATTGCGCCCCTGGTGATGTCTAGAAGAGGATAACCTAGTTCTTACCGTACACGTACAACCTAAGTGCATGCACAACTTCGCCATCTCTTCGTTTCGACCTACTTCCATAGGGCGCAGGATGTCGATCACCTGACTACCAGCTAGGGTACCAGCTAGGGAGTGCCCGAGCCTCCATAGCTGATTTGTCCCGCGTGCTATCTCCGTGGTAGCGCTTCGGCCAATTGGAGGGCCGTTTGACCGGCCAGGTAATGTGGGGGCAGAGCGCTTAGCGCCGGCCGCAGCATTCCGTCCCTGGGCTCCCATCTTGCTTGCACAAGTGCGTGCACTCTACAGTGCTGTGTGGCGAAGGGGGGGGGGGCAAACTGTCGAATGGAGGCGGTCGAATTTGGTCTGACAAAAAAAAAAAAAAAAAAAAAAAAAAAAAAAAAAAAAAAAAAGGGGGCCCCCTTTTTTTTTTGTATTAAAAGGGGTTGAAAAAAAAAAAACAATTTTCAAAAAAAAAAAAAAAAAAAAAAAAGTTT